CTCTTTCGTAACACTTTTTCGTAACACATTTTTGCAGAATGACCCTTCCTCATAGACGTATTTACGTCAAAAACACGTACTTACCACGTGTCCCCCGTAATAAATGCAAAATAAAATCATAATTACGAGGTCATGACCACGTATATAAATTATTCCCAATTTTCCATCGAACAAAAAAATTGACATGTCACTACGAATTGTTATACGGATGACAAAATTTAAATACCGATCTTAATTATACACTTCATAAGCTAGAAGAATCCTTCCTTTATATGAAACTCAAATATAACACCTGAATATTTCTCGAGAGGGTCCCAAACCAAAAGAAAGTCGATTAAAACCACATTTATTTCTGTAGATGCGGTATTCTGGGCTATAACACTGTATAACCGATTATTTCGACGGAAGATTCTGCAGCAATATAAACTTCAGTCCTGAAGATGGATTCTGAATGTCTCTCCGAAACCTTCAGAGACACAATCCGGAAGACCGCAATCTGAAGTGTCTCTTTGCCGTTTCAGCGAGGGCCAACCCGGTCGTGTTTGGGATCACTATGAGATCACCCCCAAAATGTCCACGTACCTGGTGGCCTTTATCGTGGCTCGCTCCGACTTCATTCCGACAAATGACACTGGGGCCACTTACCTGAACCCCAGGTCTCGGAACACGACCGTCCCCGAGTTCAGGGTGTACGCCAGAAGGCAGCTGATCCAGACCGCTCAATACGCTTCGTCCATCGGACCGAGGGTCCTCGACTTCTACGGCGAATACTTCGGAATGCCCTACCCGCTACCGAAGCTACACATGGCGGCCATACCAGACTTCTCCTTGGGGGCAATGGAGAACTGGGGGCTCCTTACCTACAGGTGAGTTCGTCTATGAAACTAGGCAGCGCCATCTGTAATCCGTCGAGTTGTACAGAAAAGGAAAAATGTGCTTACAACTTTTTAACCTCCCGGTAGTGAATGAATATTTTGTGTTGAACATCGATCTAAAACTTCTCATCTTCATTTTGCGTGTTTAATAGCGAGAGTGTTAAAAAGGTCTCGAAATCGATTCCCAAATACGTAATCCTTAAAGACGTCTCTAAAATTATTTAATATTCCCTTATTTTGTATTATTATTTATTTAGTGTTCTGTCGGACGACAGGTCCATATGAACAGGATCCTTCCATCCTTTTCTCGGACTGGGACCTGTTCATATACGTTCTTGGCAGATGATCCAGAAGTGGTTTGCCATTGCCTTCTTCTGTGTGTGAATGGAGTAATTGTTGGGATGCCACGGAGGAAAACTCCGTGTTGCCTAGACCACGGCCTTGCCCAACACAAGTTATAAATTCGGGCACCGCCGGGAATCGAACCCGAGACCCCAGGATTACAAGGCCAGCGTTCTAACTGCACATGAACTTGTTAAGTTTAAAACTTGCTACTAATGTTAGTACCGCTATCCCGCTAGTCCGTGAACCAGGAGGACAAAGTAGGATTTGAGGGTTTGAGTCTGAAGTCTTCTGGGTTGTTGCGCCGATTTCCAGCGCGCCACGTTTACACGTTACAGTTTGATATTTATATTTATGCAAACAACTTTACTGTTTACCAGCTGCGTTATGTGGAGTGAAAGCAACTAGAATTCCTGACTGCTTCAGGAGGACACAGGACTGTTGACTTAACATATCCAGTTAGCATAAGCTGAAGTATTGAGAGGAATCCTTTCGAATTAATTATTAACGAACATCCACTCATTCAACACTTTACGCCTGAGAAAACATGACTAGCAAATATAAAACAATTCCTCCTAAAGGAATACAGCCGATAGCCACTCGTATTATTCAGTCCGACGTTCAACATTATTATTACGGGTTATTTCTTAAAGCAGATGCTGAAATGATCTGACGAAATTGGCTCAATCAGGTAAAATGTGGTGTCTTCTGAAGTATTTTTGTACGAAAGGCAGAGTCTAGACAGAGTTTATGTCAATCGCGAAAAGATGGATTCTGTCTATTAACAGAAAAAAAAATTCTCTACAGTTTCACGTCTCATCTGCATTTCTCTAAGACTCTTTTGTTGATTTCTCTGAAAGGCAGTGACTAAGTCAAACTGAACTCATAGAAAGCTAAGGATGCTAACACTGATCTCCTCAAGATTAAATTTAAATATTTTCGAATCTCAGTTTGCACTAGACACATCGCCTATGCTTAAGCATTTTTGTACCAACTTATTTTAATTGACTTAATAATCCCAATAATATTTCTTATACATAAAAAAATTATAATACTTTTCATTCTGCAATTTTCTTCATTATGATTGTACTTCCTCTCTCTTGTATCCGAATATAATCTTCGTGGTCGTGTTCTGATATACAATACTAAAGCTGTACCGATACATGCCATGTACGCGCTTTGGGGGAGAGGCTTATAGCTCCTACTCGTTACTAACTTCGGCACTAGATGGGGTTAGTGATCGGCGTCACCGGGAAATGACCCCGGAAGCCATCGGACAGGAAACTGGGCGGGTTTTAAAGGCGGTATGGACGCAGAGGCCACAGGAAAAATCCTTTGCGCTGACTGGGATCGAACCCCGGTTGTCCAGTCCGTAAACTGACTGAGCTAACACGAATCCGGTCTGTTGCCAAAGCCTCCACGGAGAATAGGCGTCTCAAGGACACTGAATTGCTTGCCAGGGAGACGAACTTGCTGTTCGACTCGAAGAGTTCTTCAATGTCGTCCAAGGAAGGGGTGGCCATCGTGGTGGCGCACGAATTAGCCCACCAATGGTTCGGCAACCTGGTGACCATGAAATGGTGGAATGATCTTTGGTTGAATGAAGGATTCGCCACGTACATGGAGTACTTGGGGTCAGATCACGTGAGTACATTTCGTCAATTCTACTTCTTGTACTCGTGCTGTGTTGTGTACTGTTCTGTACTACATTGCACTATACTGTAGTGTAATATACGTGAATTATACTATGATGTGCTGTAATAGTCTCGTGTGATCTAGGTAGAACCAAGTTGGGCGATGATAGACAAGTTCCTGGTTTACGAGCAGCAACCTGCTATGGCTCTAGACGGCCTCCGATCCACCCACCCAGTGTCCACGACGGTTGACAACCCAAGCCAGATCTCTGAAATATTCGATTACGTATCGTACAGTAAAGGTATTGATAATTGCAGTTGTTAGTAGATAAGTTTCACGTTCTGAGCTCAGACTTTGGAAATATTTGCGTAAGTCAACCACTTACAGGTTTCTTTTGGTGAGATTCGAGGTTGCATTGCGACGGGTAAAGACTTGTCATCATAAGATTCTTCCAAATTACGTAGTTATAAATGAAAATTTGAACATGGTAGATTTGTTCTTCAATAAGATTAGCAAGAAAGTATTGTTAAAGGAATTTTTTTACGCAGATCCCGGCCTTTAAAGAAGAAATTTTTGAATTTGTCTGTGTGAGAATTAATAAAATCAGCGATCAACTCGAAAGGACATATTTTAAAACTAAGTCCAACTTCGGTTCATGTAAGCCATCCAGCCTGTCTCAAGTGATTAATTAAATTAACTTGCTTTCTCGACGTAAGTAAGAGAATTCTTAAAATATTTTGTGTTATAAAGTTCGTTCCGCAGACAGAAACAGTTTCTACAAAAACTGTCACTGACCTGAAGGGAGCCCGTGTGGACGTTTCGGTGACATTTACCATCTTGTCAACGCAGTTTTCTCTTTCCTTCCTGTCAGGTGCATCGCTGATACGAATGCTGAACAACAGCCTAACGGAGGAGGTCTTAAGGAAGGGATTAACACGCTACTTAAATAAATGGCAAGTTTACTCTAATAACTTAAATACAAGAACAGAACTCACTAGTGACTCAGGTGGTCAACAAAATTTTCACCTATCACGAAACCCAAATTTTAGTGGAATCTGAGGTTTACGCGGCCGTGAGTCCGAAAATGTCTGTCTTTTGCTTTGTTGAGCCGTGTAGTCTGGTAGAAGTTTACCATCCTCCATCATCAATCAGAAAATGGTGATCGCCATGATGAAGGAGGTAGCAAGGACCTCCGAAAGACATCCATTTCGATACCGTTATAAGATCCCGCCTCTAGCTTCCGTGCCTTTCCTCAGTCGTAAGGCAAATATTTCGAAAGTTGCACTGCCCATCCTCCCGAATCATCGAAACCTTCAGCTGAAGCGGAACCTTGGATGTCTTATTTGTGACATTGAAGCAGCAGATTTAAACAGCCTGACCTTGGTGTTTATACCTTGACCCATTTCAACTCCACCATGAGCGACTGCTACAGTTCCATCTTGGGCGTATATTGATACAATCGCAGAGTAGTTGCCCCACATCGGGAACGGGTAGATCATCGGTACCAGAGCAATGCCCCGTTTTCTCCAGCGTTGTTTCTATAACAGAAATAAATCCTGTTATAGCTTAACAAGTAGCACTGCTAATTCACCGAATATATCGGAAAAATGATCGGTCTCATCGAGTATTTTACGTATACAGTGTTAGGTTGGGTTCGGTTAGGTTAGGTTGGTTTAGGTTAGGTTAGATTAGGTTAGGTTCGGTTAGGTTAGGTTGGTTTAGGTTAGGTTAGATTAGGTTAGGTTAGATTAGGTTAGGTTAGGTTAGATTAGGTTAGGTTGGGTTAGGTTAGGTTAGGTAGCAAGCCTTCGCCGAATGTAACTTTCTCTTAACTCTAATGAATGTCAGCTTCATTTGTTATTTAGATGTGAATACGAGTCTTATTATTGTTCGTCGTAGGAAGTACAGTAACGCAGAAGAAAACGATTTGTGGCAAGTTCTGACGGAGGAGACTCTCGTGTCCCGAGAGTCGTCCTTGCCGGACAATGTGACAGTCAGGCAGGTGATGGACACTTGGACGCTTCAGGATGGCTACCCGGTTCTCTCTGTCACGCGAGATTACGACGATGGATCAGCCAACCTCTCGCAGGTCAGCCACTGGCGAGCAAAAATAATCTTTGCGCTCTGTTGTTTAGTATAAAATTGTTTTAAAAAGCTCCACGCAATTGGTAACCAATTAGATCTCTATACATTTGCCCTGATACCTACCCTCGGCACCCCCGTCACTCAGGGTGTGCGGATATTTCTGATACACCACTGGAACGAGGACTGTGCTCTTCGTGAGTAGCGTGAATAAATGAGATCGGAAATCGAACCAAACCGACTGTAAATATCGTTAAAAGGATTAGAAATTGATGTCGGCAGGGGGGGGAAATATTACGAACGAGAAAATCCATAATGGATCTTAGTCCCTCGTAAGGCAGTTCAACCACTGCTCGTTATACCCGAGAAACTCTCAAATGACGTCATCTGTTTGCTCGCAATAGCCGATATATCGTTATAACCGTGCTCGTTATAAACGAGTTATAAAAACGAGAAATATTTATTTTCTTATTTATTTATTTGAGACATTAAGACAACTCGTGTCTGTTCATTTGACAACAGAATTCATTTTGACAAAGTCCTGTTTACATCTTTTAGGGGTAATTTAAAAATAACCAATTTTTTGAGGTTAAGTGACCATTTTTTAACACCAAAACACGGAATCAAAGGAGGCCATGTTAATGGATATTTAAAAGGTTTGATAAAAAATATTTATTTATTTATTATTTCGAGTTCTGTTGTAGACTCGATTCACGTTGGACAATTCGTCATCAGACACGACGTGGTATATTCCGGTGAGCTATGTTACTCAGAATGAAATGAACGATGCTGCCAACTCTAGCAGGAGAACTTTCCCAAGAATATGGCTTAAGAAAGAACCAACAACGGAGGTTCATGATCTGACGAAGAATAATTCCTACGATACCTGGGTGCTCTTTAACATTTATGCCACAGGTGAGTCTAAGTCCTGGACTTGGTATAATTTGTACTAGAATAAGTTACAGCGGAACTTAACCTCCGGGCGCTGTTCGTGGTTTCTCTCGGTTTCACCATGTAAATGATGGGATCTCGTAGTTGCCTTCAATTACGAGGTGCGATCGGAAGGTTTCCAGACTGCGCGTATAAAAACCCGTACACTTATCTCAGGTATTAAATTCATCCGTCACCCTCGAAGTAGTTCCCCTGGGAGTGAACACAACGATCCCAGCGCCGCTGCCAAGCCTGGAAGCATCCCTGGAAATCTTTCTTTGTCAGCCTGTCAAGCACCATCTGCGATTCTGCCTGAATCTCTTCTATCGTCTCAAATTCACGTTTTAAAAATGGCCGAACCTCTGTCGATGATGACGAGCGTTCTGGACGACCATCTTCGAGCACAACGCCCGAAAATGTTACGAAGATCGACGTCGTACCATCAACGACTTGTGCGACATTGTTGGGATAGGCTATGGGACCTGTCAGCTGATTCTAAAGGAAGAACTCTACATGCGACGCATCATGACAACGCGCCAGCGCACACCGCTCTCAAAGTTCGGCAGTTTTTGGCCTCAAACACCATGGCCGTCATCCCGCACCCTCCTTATTCGCCGGATTTAGCTCCGTGTGACTTCTTCCTCTTCCCAAAGATGAAAATTCAGCTAAAGGGAAGGAGATTTGAGGCGATAGAAGAGATTCAGGCAGAATCGCAGATGGTGCTTGACAGGCTGACAAAGAAAGATTTCCAGGGATGCTTCCAGGCTTGGCAGCGGCGCTGGGATCGTTGTGTTCACTCCCAGGGGAACTACTTCGAGGGTGATGGATGAATTTAATACCTGAGATAAGTGTACGGGTTTTTATACGCGCAGTCTGGAAACCTTCCGATCGCACCTCGTATGTCAATGTCCTTAGATTCTCGTCATTCACAATCATCGTCCCAGTTCATGCCATATAATTCAATCTCCCCTTTCGTCGTGAGATCTTCATTTTCTTTGCGTTAAGAATCAGGATTTGTGGTCGTGTGACTCAGGTTACTACAGAGTGAACTACGACACTCGTAACTGGGGCCTCCTGGCGGAGC